TTTTTACACTTTTTAAAATTCTTAACAGAGATACCTGGTGAATCTTAGGATTTACGTGCAATCCTAGCTTTTACTAACATTTGAGGTTTTACAAAATATATATATTATACAATTTATATATATATAACGAAAAAATAGAAAAGTATTACACTTGAAATAATTTAGTAAAAAGCACATTCATATCTTAGAAAAAGTTCTGTACCTGGAATGATTGGCCTTCGGTTCGTATCCCATCACTGGAATCATCAAAACCAACTCCACGTGAATAATGAGATGAATACAAGCCTCCTCTTCCAGTTCTACCACGTCCACGATCCACACTGCTACCTCTTCCACGGCTACTACCAATATTAGTTATCCCTCCATTCCACATACGCTGCAAAATTCAAATACATATAAACATTTACATTACAAGAGATATTTTGCAAAATAAATTTATTCCAATTATACATAATTTTGTAATAACCCACAACAAAGCAAAATTATATAAAAACATTTGAAAAAAATACATTTCTTTCAAATAATAGTATTAAAGTATTGTTTAAAAAAAGTGAAAATTTTTAAAACTTCAAAATTACGAGAGAAACAAAGTCTTTCTATTTCAAAAACATATTTATCATAATAAGTGTGAAAAAGTTATTCGAAAAAGAAATGTTTATTCAATTTATTTTAAATTAATGCTTCGTAAGACATGTTTCTTATAAGTAAAAATAAATATTTAATGTAATATATTATAACCATAACAATTTTAAAAGATATTAGATAACAATAACTTAAAATCAATTATAATTTATCAAAAAAAAAACAAATATCTTTGATAGAAATACATATAATAGATTATCATAACCTTTCATTCTAAAATTCAATTAACATTTCCCTGATTTTTATACAAAATATTTCATAATTTCCCCTAATCTTCAATAAAATTTTGACATGTTTTGTATTTTGGTCCTGACTTGAAATCGGTTTACATTTTGTTGAGAGATCAATTTAACATAGCAATCTAAATTACTATTAATGGTGCTAACATACTTGTATTTTAATGTTAAATTGGTAGCGTCCTAAAATTATGTTGGTATGATGAATGTATATTAAACAAACATATTTATTTAAAGGCAAGAATTTTAATTTTCTAAAAAATTGCAAAATTCCTTGACTTTTCTCTATTTCTCTAACTGTTTTCAATTTCCTTTACAATTCCTTGATTTCCAGTTTTGTGGCAATTCTAAAAACAATGCAAGAGAGCTCAAATTGTTAATTTTTGGATAATTTCTATTGTAAGATGAAATAAGAATAGTATTACAATTTTATAGCTTTTCCTTTTCATTATTATAAAAAATAAATTAAACTAAGCTTTATACAATGAACAAAAATATAAAAGAACACAGTATTAAAGTATTATTACATACTTTACTCTTCTTATGCGTTTAGTTACCGTTTCATCATCTGTCATGGTTGTGAGAGCCAATGGAAGCTGAGTTTTTTCCACATACAGTGTTGGAAAAGTTGTCAATGGCTCCGAAGGTTTACAGTTGCGATCGAACAAGGCTAACATCTCTTCCCGACCATATCTATGCTCTGCTAACTGATAGCGAGGTATACTCAGGATTGTTGTCCCTCCACCACCACTACCAATATTACAACTGTCTCCTGACGAAACCTTACGCAACCTATGTACAAAATGTGATAAATAAAATAAAATTCTAAACATAACTGAATGACGTTCTAATGTGTTTCATCAGTGATACAAATGACATACCACTCTGGACCAAATTTCATGGAATCAGTCATGATGCACTATCTCCTGAAAAATGAGAAACAAGACAAATGAAATCTATAGTTTACAACAAAAAAAGCACATAATATATTATGCTATAGCTATAAAGATAATCTTAAAAAGCAGTTTATAAAAATATCAAATACACATGAATCAGATTGTGTAACGTGACAGTTCAGAGGTGTCTTTTTTCATCGAATGCTGAATGATGTTTGCAAAACAAACATTTGCCAGACTATGTGAAAATTAGCGAGAAACTATAAAGCAGCAAAATAACGCAATTTCTCAGCAAGGCATCGCAAGATGATAAAATTAACTCCCCGTTGCGGTGGGAGACCCATCATCTGTTGCAACTTGAGTAAGGACGTGTGATACGTACGATACGGCGAGAATCATAACGTAACGATTTCGCGCAGCAAGATGTACAGGCCGACAGGCTGTACCTGTTGCTCAAAGATGTACCGGATCGCCATCGACGATCACGCGCGTGTACCTCGACGAACGCGGTGACACGTAGAGCGATGTAGGTTTGGCAGTAACGAATGTGGAGGGTGGTATAACAGAGCAGCAGCGCAAGTCTCGTTAATCGCATGCATCCCCCCGGGGGATTTGCGTCTATGGCGTCGCGACGTAGCCAACGGTGGCAGCGTCGAGCGTCACGGATGCGTTATCGCGAGACAACCGCGTATTTTGTATCCATGACGTACTCTTATAAAACGCGAGTAGAGGTGGTCATTCCGTAAGCCGAGGTGGCAACATTAACCAAACTTTTTTTGCTGGCGAACATCGGGGTGATTTGTATGCGCGACGGATCGCGAGAGGGACGGCGGAACCACGGAAAAACTGATCGGTCGACCGGATCCCACACGATCGCAACATAAAGCACCGTGACAGATCTACAGAGAAAATACCTTTGCTGATCTTCGAAATTACTGAGGACAGCGATACAACACACCAATATGGCTGATGGTTTTTTTTTGGAATGAAGCGCATGCGAAACTTCGTCTGTGGTAATAAAGTGGTATGCCTGGGAGGAGGCGTGGGAAGTTACTAGGATCATCGCGCATGTGCACAAAGAGATAACCGATGAGAATAGGAAACGATTGAAAGACACGTGTCTTCTTCTTCAACAATGGAAATAAAAGGCTGGTATCAATTTCATAATGACTGGAAAACACGTGTAAAACGTCAAGGCCACGTTTGAATACTTTATTACTTTTCGAGAGATTCTTGAAATTACAAATCTTTGAATTTGTATAAGATTCGTCTATCTTATGATCTTCTCCCAAATTCATTTGTTTTTTATTTTAAATTTACTAGGAATTTTTTTTAAATTATTTACAGTTGATAGAAGCAATACTGATATTATCGGCTGAAAGTAATCATGGACATTTTGTAAATCACGGATTATAAATTCAAGTCATCAAAATAATATATTATTTTGATGACTTGAATTTATAATCAAGATTATATAATTGTTAATTTATTATAGCTAATAATTATATTCAATTATAATATATATGTACTTTTTCATTAAAAAATATACACACACACACATACAAATATATATTTACGAATATATTTTAATTCCTTTTTATTCACATGAATATAAGTATTTTCCGGAGCTTCAAAAAAGCATCTTAAAATTTATTTTAATTCCTATATTAGATATATTTAGTTTTTATTATTTGACTCGATTGACGTCAAAAATGATCGCATTAAAAGTCAAAACGCATCTGTAATTTTATTTTAATATTATATATTCATTAATTTGTGATACATATGTATTAGCACATAAAAAATCAGATCGAGTCTTTATTTTCTGTTTCTTCTTACCACCTTTTTTATTATCTTAGATTTATATTTTAATATTATAATTATATTAATATTATATACTTTTTTTTAATTTTAAGAATATTATGACTTTAAGTATCTCTGAATTTTAAGTACAATAAACTCAATTCATAAAAATAAAAATTGTGAAAAATCGATTATAGAATATTAGAAAAATATGATATATAGGAAATGACGTAGAAAAACTCTGAATGTCAATTTTAAAAGTTTTATTTGCAAATTCGTTTCCGCTAACTATTCTAACATGAATAAAATTATGATTATTATGCAAAACACAGAAAATCATTCATATACAAATATTTAAATATATGTGCCATAAATACATACATAATTGTTATAATTTTCAGGTAATGTTAAACATACCTATTAATATTTATTCAAATAATCAACTAAAGTTACTGCTTAATATAAGAACACTAAACAATTATATATAAATTTAAAATAAAAATATTTTAACTGCATAGCAATATGACAATAATAAATATGTATTCAACATACAAAAATACCAATTTTCAGTCCAAGAAATTTTATTGTATGCACAACAAATTGATCAATTTATATAATTGTTTACTAATAATAGGCAGTTTTATCACAAACACAAAGTAGTTTTGAGCTTTTGCGTTTTATGATTTCTTTTGTTGTAAATAATATACGAATATATATATATATATCTGGCCATTATTACATTATTTTTTGAGATCTTTACTAATAAAAATAGAATATGTATAGCAAAATATGTCCTTTGACAAAATTCAATATATATATATACTATGATCAGAAAATCGTAATAGTAAAACGGTCTCACACAGCCGAAATAACTTGATATGTTAAATATCAGCAAATGCTCCGTATAAGAATAGTATGTATACAAGTGTTGCAGACTTACTAATACCTGTTAATGTCAGATTCCTAAACATTTGTTTTATAAAACAATGATTTTTAAATAAAGTGTTCAAAATTAAGCGATCAAATTTTCCTAATTTGGTACACTCAAATATAACAGACTACATAGTGAAGATGTATAGTATACAGAATTATATCAATAATGCTTGAAAATATCTTTACTTGTACGCGTATAAACACTTTTTTATTTAAAATATATTACAGCATCGACATATATTTTAGTATTGGAACTTTCGTCTCAAAACGACCTCGTAGAAACTGCCATTAACAAGAAGTCTGAGACATTCTACATATAAAGAAGTCTATATATCTGAGCAACAATTCAATATTAAACTTCGGAAGAACATACTATTACCTTAAATATCTTCATCATTTCTTCAAATTAAATCTGACTTTTTATCAATATAATATTCAGTCTGTGTAGAAAGATGCAACATTATATATGTAGATCAGAGTTACGCTTTGGTCAAATTCATCCCTCGATCTATTGATGAAATCTCTTATAAATTGATGAATTGCCTACATATTAAATTTAATCTCTAACTCGAAGACCCCAAATACTGGTTCTTCGAATACCGACTGTTGGCCTCGCTACAGAGCTATAAAGGTACTTGTTAATTTCGGGTTCACGGCAAGTAGCTTGTAATGATTTAAGCACTGATTCCGTCATTAGACCGAAAACATCTAAATATAATAAACACGGCATAGTAGCTAATCTAATATATGCCGATTGCGGAATGCTGTAACAACGGCTCAGTGATAAGTGCTCAAGCTTTGAAAAGTTTAATAAATTATGGACGGTATGCATTGTAAGCATAGCGCAATCACTCAAATCTAATTCTATAATATCCGGACACCTTCTTAACAAGTCCTTAACGTCTGAAATTAAAAAAAAAGTGCATGTGAAAGTCAATAAATAATAAATCTCAATTACTATACTTACTCTCATCAGTCATGGTTTTTCTACAACCCGCTAAGTTCAAGCGTGTAATGGACGTTGGCAATGTTTTGCAAAGTAATGTTATACATTCGTTATCCAAAGAACACCATGCTATATTCAGAGCAGTTAAGCTGAAACAATCCGATCGTATTAAAATTAGAAATTACATCAACATTTATTACATAATATATAGAGAAAGATTAATCATTTTACCATTTAAGTTCCATTAAATCCATAATACATCCAACGTTTATATTCTCGCACATTGTTAAATTTAAAATTTCTAATTCAGTGTTTTGCTTAATCACTCTACAGCAATCTCTATTTACTACACATTTTTCCAACGACAATTTTTTCAGATATTTACACTTGGATAATAAGACAGCCAAACCCATTGGTGATATGACCGCCATAGATAAATCCAAATACTGTAATTTACTGATATATGAATCGCTAAGAACTTCGCTGCCTTCACAAAAGACAGGATCCGCGATTTCTGCTTGTGCCAGTCTTAAAATTTGTATCCCTCGTGGCAATATATGCCCTAATGTGCCTTCATTTAAAACTTTACTACCCATATCTAATCTAGTCCATAATGCTTCATCTTGAGCTATTTGGCACCAACGTTTGCATACTAGCATAGAACGTACCTGTGTACGAAATCATTTATACAATTGAGGTACATACATAATTTAGTGAATTACATTTATTACTATTCTTACCAAACATTTCTTGGGTAACCATTTCAATATCATTAAAATTATTTCGTCCGATAATTTATTAAATTTATCCTCGCCGTAAATAGAAGGTCTTCTTTTTCTCCTAAATAAACAGAATTGATCTAAACAAGACTGCTCATTTTTTTTGGCAGAGATACTCTTTTCTTTGCTAAAGCTCTCTTTTAAATCCCCAAAGTATTCAGCTTCCATTCTTGAAGAATAGCCAGATTCATTCTCTGTACTACCAAATCCAATTAAATCATCCGTATCACATGAATCTTGTTGGACCCTATAAAATAAATTATATATGTGTGTGACTGTGTATGTATATATATATATATATGTATGTGTGTGTGTGTGTGTGTGTGTGTGTGTGTGTGTGTGTGTGTGAAAATAATAGACATAATTTAAAACTTCCAGCATAATTCTTATTGTTACAAACCTGTTTGACGTTGCAATTCCTAAACTAGAACTTGTATAAACCTCTTCTTGATATCCAAAGATATTAGAATCATCTATTGCTGATCTATTATTACTAGTTAAATTCTCCGCTAAGATTGTACACTCTTCGGATTGTAGTTTTTTTGTATTTTCACAATTTGTTACTCCATCTTCCAACATGCTAACGCCCATATCTTCTAGAATTTCAGGTTCAATGAGACTGGCATCTCCAGAATATGGCCACTTTGTACTATTTTGACAGTGACTGTTGTTTAAATTGTTATTACAGCCATTGTCCAAACGTAATCGTTTGCTGTGAACATACATATACAGAAGTTTTTTTTTATTACAAAACAACTTAAATACAAACATATCAATTCAATTGTAAAGGAACAAATTATATATAAACCTGTTCCACCAGGGTGATGATGAAGAAGATGGATCTTTATTCATTATATGTGAATAGAGGTATAGAAGTTCTTAATTCTCCAAAATCAAATGATATCAAGTTCTTACAATGAACTGTTACAAAACCAGGCAAATACTGCAGGAAAGGAGGATTAGTATTTGAGTTACATGTATAAGGTACATTAGATATTAATCATAAAGATTACAATGCAGAATACAATTAATGTAATCACACAAAAAGAATAAATAATAAAACTAAAAACATTTATATATGACAGATAACAACAAAGAGAAAATTAATACTTATTTACATATAAAGAAAATAAGAATTTATTTATTTATAATCATGCACATAAAAAAGCAAGAATATTATTTAAACCAATCCTTGCCAAAGGTTTATATATATTGAAAAAATATACATAATTTTGCTGTTGTTTACTTGTTAAGAACACATATTTACTCCATAAATCTCACGAGCGGTACAAATGTAGAGTTCAATGTTATATTTGACAAAATCACGAAGATTATTCGTTAAGATCACAGCCAAAGTTTTTCGAATCCAAAACTTTCTCAATATACTACGAACACTGAAATTTCTTCGCGAAAATATAGAAAAGAATTTACGACCGACAGCCAAAAACGTGGCGATTTCTCGACAGCATTAATTCTCGACTATAGATCGCAATACATTCGAGCATTCGCTGTGAGGCACAACAAAGCCAGGACAGTCGGTCGTAGGATACTTTGGGCGGTATTCAACACTACGCAGAGCGTTTCTTGCGATCAAGAAAGACAACAAAACCCCACAAGACAAGCGCGTCTTGGTAACCTTACTTATGAGAGGACGAACGAATGAGCGCGCACGGGTGTACAATGTACACCTGTTCCCTTTCCCTCTCCCAAAGAAGCACAGACAACAGGTAAAGAAGTGTAGTAGGTACGAGGCCAATCTAGCAGAGACAACCAAAAAAGCGATATGATAAAGATAAAGTTTAACCTTTCGGAGGACTCCTGGGATTTCGACGAACGGGACTTCTCTGACTTTTTGTGCAGTTTTGTGTGCTCGATCGCAATGCCCGAACTCATCCTTAGCGAAAAACGCCGCGAGTCGGCCTGCGTTTAGTCTTTCAAATTACCGCACAATACCAAAATCCACCCACCAAGGCACGCTCCGCACCGCTCCGCTCTGGCAAAACAAATCGCTCGACAGCGCGATCCGGCTATCCATCCCGCGCGCGCGCGATTATCCCGCCGAGCCGGCTCGATGAGACGACGCAGATTGGCCGGTCGTCAAAAGGCGGGAACGCGGCGAGATATCGAAACGGCAGGAACGCGCGCTACGCATGCGCGACGCGCGACAGCAGCGCCGTTCACTGTGCACCTCGATTTCGCGCCTTTTCCACGTTCTTCGCGGCTTCGCGCTACGTGCATGACTCTGGATCTTGCGTAATGTTATTAACAGCGACGTCTTGTCGGATTTGGTTTCATCGATGTATACGTACTTAGCCGAAAAAAAGGTAAAAACATTAGCCATAGCATGAACTGCGCCATTCGTAATTATAGCGTTTGTTTCGTTATCCAACTAGAAGCAACTGCGTCTAATGCCCCGCAATTTCTTCACTTCCAGATAAGTTGCGGATAACTTTATCCCAGGAGATATCTCCTGGATAATGCTATCTAGAGCCTATCTAGATAAGCCTATCTCTGTCTTCTGATCCCTGAAGACGAAGATATAGTTTCAAACGTCTATAATGAGATTTTTAAGGCGTAAAACTTTTATAATAAGTTTTAGGCTGTAAAAAATTGACTAATCATAATTGATTATTCTTCACATATTGATTGTGATTTATCAATTTCTCTTAAAATCTCATTGTAGACGCCGCTTTAGCCGCGGTTGCTTCTGTGTTGCTTATATAACGAAAAAACGCTTTCAAGTATCAAATGCGCTTAATAAAATTGAATCTCTCTCTTTCCTTTTTTAATATTTATGTACATAACTTTTAATCAAATTTGACAATTTAATTTGGCAAGCCCTTTGCGCTCATATAAAATTATTTTTCTCCGCGAAGGTATGTCACTTATGATAAAACATTTTTTTTATTATCTGATGAGGGTTTAAAAATGAATAAACGATTCTATTACGATAATCAAAATACACATTTAAATTTATTTTAGGATTACAACTAAATTACTATTATTACATAAATTACTCTTAAATGTTACTTACTATACACTTCAATAGCGAGATAATTAAAGTATTAAGCAGAAACGATTATGATTTCCAATTTACTGTTTGAGGCCTTTCAACTTTCGATCCTCGGCGTAAATTTTCATCTGGAAGCTCACCAAGTCGGACGTTCTCTTGTGAAAGTCAAATCGCGCGTCCTTCGGATGTATCCCCTTGTCGTGCCACCAACCATAACTGAAAATTGTGATAGCTGTTGGAGCGGTGCATACATATAGTCGAGAAAATCGATGTGCGGATCATTGAGATGCAAGAATTACGTGTGGCTGGTTAATAACGGCGACTGGTATAGGTTTCTCGGCTTCCTATCTTGTTCCGTGGCGAGTCTCTCAAGCGTGTCGCTTACGTCTGCATTTTGCGCGTCTTCGAGTTCCCTCGAGTAGAATTTCGGCGTGACGAGATCCGCTGCAATTGATTTGCAACTTCGCGTGTGCATTTATTTCAGATCGTATTACGCTTGGCTCGCAGCTTCGCGTTGTGAAAATCGAGATCGCGATTATATACGTCGACACCGTGTCTTTCTTTTTATTCCAGTTTGATAAACTCGAATAGAAATAGAGCAAACTTACTATTGAGAAACGATCCATCGCAAGTTAATCCTTAACTGATATGTATGCTCCTTTTTTATTATATATAAGATATTGTGAGGTCATCATCGATCAATTTATTTTATGCTGAAATAAATATACTGATTGTGAGAGAAAAGTGTTTTGTGATTGCAATTGTATGATAAAATAATTATGATTAGTTTTATTTTTATCGTTCAATATTTTAATGTTATAGTAATAATATATAAAAATATTTAGTTTTTTATCAAAAAATATATACTTGGTTGGCACTAAAAATGACTAAAAATTATATTTAAGTTATAAATATAATAATAACGATCATTTTTTCTATCAGTGTTTGGATTTTTCTTGTAATAATTTTATTGTATTTAAAAAAAAGTTAAAAACAATGATATTTTGTCTAAGAAAACTAATATTAAAAAGAATTTTATTTTAACAAAGAAACTAAACAATTTTCAACTGTTAAATAAATAATAAATATAGAAATGTTTTCTCTCAATTTCGAGGATTTTACTCAGTTAATGACGAAACACAATCAGTTCAAACTGAATTCATTATAATTTTAAAATATCAGTTAAGGATTAATTTTGCGACAAGATTTTATAGCAGTCTCGTTAATTTTTAATCGGTAGTTGAAATTTGAAGCTAACAATTTTAATTGAGTATAAAAGCCGCCCTATCGTTTGAAATAATTTATATACCGTTCGTTTTTGATATGCAAGCGTCGGATTTCCCGATTTGCTGGTTTCGCGAGAAACACAGTTTAAACGGCGGTCTCTCTAACTTCTTCGACGTTACCGGTCTCGAGTCGTACGAATCCGTTTGTTGCTCGGACATATTTTCCACGCAACACAATTTTTCCCGACCCGTCGCCTTTGTCCCGTTGTCGTCGAGAATACTCAACTGAACGTCTCCGCCTTATGTCGAGTGCCGCGTGCGTGTCTCCACGACGTGCATGAACCACCGTATTTGATCGATATTGCCTGCAAAATACGCTTGTCAGAAATAAGCAAATGAGGGTGACATTCTCCTCCCGAAAATTTCACGTTTGCAAGGACAACAATTTAGACGTCATTCCATCAAATTGCTATTTTAGACGGCCCCCCCCCCCTTTCTCCTCAAGAAGAAATCTAATAACGAATTTGGTTGTGCATTCGGAAACTAGCGCATATTAAAGCCGTTGTGCATTGATTTAATCCGAATAAAAGTAAAATGTAAATATATTCGCAATAAAATTATTTGCAAATTTTAAATTCTCATTTACAATGTAAGAAAAGAATGTGTCTTGATAAAGAAATATCATATTATCTTGTAATATTTTTAAGAATTTGTCATATTTTAAATTTATGAAGACTTCCGAAAAAATACTTTAAACTTTTTCAGAAGTTTTTTCAAAATTTATAGAATGAGAAATCTCAGAATATATATTTTAGAATTTACGTATACCTATATAAAGATTTTTAGAAGATGTAGATTTTCTCAACATTTCTGAAAAGTGTTCCGATAAAATTGTGTGTTACCAAAAAATCCAAAAGGTTTCTAAAATATAAAAATATATAAAAAGAAAAAGAAGGAAGGAAAGAAGAATTTTGAAATTTACGTAACAATTCTGAAAAATTATATAAAAAATTAAATAAATGTTTCATCATAGAGTAAAGAAAAAAATTAAATTTCTATTGGAATCATTAGAGCGGAAAATAAAAAAGAAGCATTTTACAAGATAAATGCTTTCTTATATTTCGCTCTATTTCAATCTTTCTAAAAGTTTCGTTTACGCTTCTGTTATTTCCCCTTTACGTTCGACTTACGCTTCAATTTTTATTTTCGTTAGAAATTGAAAGAGAATGGGTTTTGTAGAATAAAACGAGATCCAGAGGACTTTTTCATATTTGCTTCTCTCTTTATTTTCGACTTTTTTCCCCGTTAATAATTCATATATTCCAATAAAGTATGTATGGCTAATAGTAATTATAATCTGGCGCAACGATATTACAAATTTCTCTCGACTCTGACTCTCTCTTCGTTTTCCACTTATCGATTTTGGCGCTTCTTTATCTCCTTATCGCCAATAATATCTATGTTATCTCTTCACACTTGCTTGCCAATTAAATAACTGCATACCAACGAATGAAGCTCTCTCGAGAGAAGAAGCAGCTGTTTTCGAACAATGAAAATATCCCTCGCTCTTTTCTCTTTCTCGACGAAGAATTTCTCGCTCTCACATTCATGCATACATACGCAACTTTTCTTCTCTTTTTTTTTTCTGTTTCAGTCTATCTTGTATTTGTCTTGTTCATTACCTCGTGTAATACAAAAAGCATCTCCCCCTCCTCAGAATCCTCAGTTATATTGACTTGCATTAATAATAGGACGTTTACAGCCATTACATTCTTACCGCGCGATCTATACGTGATAATCGTGTCTAGGCAGACTCAATTTGTAACTCCGTATCGTAAAATTCTTAGAAATCAGCCGTTGACATAACGGTAACGCTATCTCGATTTGTTCTCGTTATCATTGATAGTTTCACGATTACTTCTCAGATTTCTGGGCTTCTGTCATCAAAAAATCAAAACCAATCGTCGCCTTGTCATCATTTCATAGCAGCGAAAGACGACAATATATAACACTTTGATTGTCAAGCTGATTTTGGCATTGAGCTTAATAAATATAGAGTGTATCATTTGAATACTGTATTGTTTTCTTCATTTCTTAATTATAATTTATATATACTGTTTCTTTAATATTTCGACGGGACTCTTGCGAATTTTATGTATCATCCGGATGTGAGTGACATTACAATCAAAGTTATGCCAATGTTAACATAATGTTGTATTCCTTGCCTCAGCTATTATGAGCTAATTACTATGGACATATCGACATAGCGTACCGTCATTGCATAATCGAAAAATACGTAGAGGTTCGAGGATCACTGTGACGATGTACACTCTCTCTCTCTCTCTCTCTCTCTCTCTCTCTCTCTCTCTCTCTCTCTCTTCTTCCATAGAATAGTTTCAAGATTTAACAATGGATTCTTGTTAATCCCGAAACCGCGTAACTGCAATTAAACATCGGAAAAGGTCAACAAGGTAGATTCTTATGCGATTCGTTCCGGACTTGATTGATATACACGCACGCAAACATATGGGACGAATTTTCTTAAAACTCTATCACGAAAAGAACGTTCTCGAGTCCTTATAGAAAAATACTTGGGACCTTCTCAAAGACACCGAATTTTAAGCCTCTCGATTGTTTTGCTATACGCAGAAAGCATGTTGCGATCGGCAGTGCGTTCGTCAGAATCGGAAGGCGAATTCACCCTCGCCGATTCCCGCTTCTGTTTTGTCCTTCATGATTTATTATCCAATTCGCGCTTAGTATCCTGACATAATATTTTTCTATAGGATATGACCGATTTGAAAATATCTTTCAACTTTCAATGGAGCTTTTCGTTGTCGACTGAGGCTAGTAAAACACGTTCGAAGGCAGGGCGGGAGATAAATCGATATCGTTTTCTTTTCAGAGAAAGCGTCGAATCGCTTCAATAACTACAAATCGGTCAGACGTACTGTCGAACCTCCGTGTTCTTTATAGCAAGTCCCGTAATCTTCCTATTTTTAATTTCCCTTCTAGTTATATTCTAATAATTTTATTTAAACGCGAAACAAAACAATATGTTCGTCATTAATTCGGAATGAGAGAGTGAATGAAAAACGAGATACATCTCGTTGAGCAAAATCTAACAGTATACAAGAGAAAAAAGTTAAATTTGTGGAAATTCGATTGTTTAATTTTCAGAAGACTGCAGGAATATTAAAATTTCTGCAATAAATAGAAAAGTACTATAATAAAATTACTATAATAAATAGAAAAATGAGCCAAGCAAAATTTTAACGTTCATAAATAATTAAATATTTTGTTACATAAAATAAAAATTAATTAAATATTGAACAAATTTCTATATATTTAGGACACAATATAATATTTATAATAGGACACAATATAATATTAATATAATAGGACACAAAATATAACACTAATTTCAAGAGATGTTAGAACCCACATCTCTCATGGCCCTTTAAATTCTAAAAGTTAAGAATAACGGCGAAGATTAGAATATGGAGGTCCAACTGTATTTCTGTCCAATTAGCTTCGCCGACTGCTTCATAGAAAGTGTAAAAAAGCATCGGCGATCATTTAGGTAGAATTACTACTCTGGTGAAAATTGTTTTTAAAATTTTTCATGTAAAAATTTTTCAGAATGTTTAAGTAAATTTCAGAAATTTTGTATAAATGTGTTTTAGAAAATTTCTCAGATTTTTTATATGAAAATGTAATACTACTTACAAGAAATTATCTACATGTTGCTGAGAAAGTTCACATTTAATAAAATTTTTCACATATATGAATTCTAAAATGTTCTAGGACTTGTAAAATTTCGCGTTCTATAATTTAAAAAAAATTTATAAAATCTGCAATGTGTAGTTTACAGTATTTTTTTTTTAGTAACTTTCACAAATTCAAAAATACGACAAATTCTTAAAAAATACTACTAGAATTTTTTTCACCAGAGTAAACTTCGAGAGAAAGAGCGTAATCATTTGGAAGATATGTCCGTTTTTGACAATACGACGAACCGTCAAGGTTCTTACATTCGTTAGGAGGCTACATCCCGCCTGTACCTTTTTTAACACGAAGATTAAAGGGCTGAAATTTGTACTCGTTTATACGCTTGTGGCCGACTTGAACGTCGGCGCGCAAGGACGGCGTGCACGTATGAAATTAAATAACGATCTTTTGATGGTCTCCTGGTTTCCCGGAACCGCGGCCATGTCGAAATGCATCCCGTGTCGGGAATCCCGCCGAGAAGCGATTTAAGACGCGAGCGTAACAACCCTCTGATGTCTCCTGCATTCTTTCGACGAACCCCTAAATTTTTTTTAGTTAAGTATACAAGTCAGCTACTCTCTAATTAATTCGTTCGACATGGACACGATTTTACACAAATCTCCAACATTTTGACTAAGGGCTTCTCCTCTAATTGTAAGTTAACTTGATACGTCTTTGCGAATGAGATCATGAGACTTTCTCGGAATATTAAAATCTGGCTTTTATATTCCAATGGAGTGATATATATCGTGTCCTCGGCTAACTGTTGCCTTTCACAGCTCGTTTCGTGTGTTATTTATCAATGAAATCGAGTTTCTGATAGTTAATATCAACATTCCAGTCGCATGCTCGCTCGTGCATCATTCAATAACCATGATTTCTCTATAATTAAAATAAAATTAATCTTACCGATTCAACGATTGCAAAACAATGGCGCGGATATCCCAGACAAATCGAGAAAAAATAAATGATGTCGAGGTATATGCGTGAGTATATTTATGTATATGTATATGTGTGTACTTACATCGCAAAACTAATCCAAAATTAAAAATTCAAACTACAAACGTCTTCAGTATTTAACAGAATACTTAAACGTGTCCAAATAAAAAATATTAATAGAACCACGATAAAATCCCGATAAAAATAAATTTAATGTAATATGATGAATCCAGTGTAACAAAAATGACAAGTGTAACGCGCGAGATATTATAAAAAAATTTATTAAAATTTAGTCAATTTTTTCTCTTTGTAACCTATATTTAATATTTATAATATACTACATTTTTGTTACGGTTTTATGTGTATATGTATGTGAAGGAAAGAATGTAATAAAATGTCTTGATATTTTTTTCACTTAAAAAATATACATTTTAATGATCAATCGTGTGAGAAATTAATGACAAATCAGATTTTCATCGAATTACGCCATTGCAGGTCTGCAATCAGATTCGTGGACCGAATGTTCGAGTCGTTAGAATTGTCGCACGTGGATCAAAATCGCGTCACAAGCGATTCTTTCGCTCCCTCGGACGATCGTACGCGTTGATCGAATCGCAAAGTGATTAACATGTCTTGTTTACAGGTATAAGGTATTTTTGTACGTTCGTAATCCAGTCTCAACATTTACATGTTTCTCGCGCTAGGCTACTAACGCGCGCCACTTAAAATACGGATAAAATTACGTACGAGAAATTAGCGCCTCACGTGCTCACGACATATCTTTGCCCTTTCTTCAGAATCTGATAACATCACCCATTTGCATGCTTAAATGTCGAGAAGCTGTCGACAATGTGTTCCAATTTCAAGCCAAAATTAAACGATTTGTATGATTAAATCTCGCGATAAAATCAGAAAGATACCTTTTTACGGGGAGTTTAATATTTAATGATTTTTCTTTAAAGAAAGCGTAAATATTTTCGTATAATAGTTTTCAAAATTGTACGTGAGCACGTTGTTAAATGGACTTCAGCCCTTGTTCTCGAACGTTTTCTTTCTCTCTCTCTCTCTCTCTTTCTTTCTCTCACACACTCTCTTTCTCTCTTACTCTCTCACAAAACTGAAGAGCGACTTCGGTTTACAAAATCACTAATACTAAGCAGTAAGATATCGCACCAAACGCAAGAAATAAAAGAGTGGCCATCGTATTCCCCGACATTTCTCTAAGATACTTTTAATCAGATTCTGAAGAGAAATGGTCCCGGGAATGCGATACGACCACTCCCTTCTTTCTTCGCAATCAAGCTCCGTCTCCTCAACCGTGTCAAAAAAATATATCATATATGTTCTACATATAAGTGGGTATGAAAAATAAAAAATATTTTTTGGCCATTTTTCTCGTTTTATAACAATTTTTTTTGGACGCGTGGAAGTAAGGATAGTGACGTAGGGAAAAGGAGAAGATAGGAGAGAGAAGGGTTTGCAGATAGGAGATTGATTCGGAGAGGAATGTCTCAATTTCGAGGGAGTGGAAAAGGACGGATGAAAGAGAAATGGTATCGGGGGGGTTAGAAGGCCGTGAAAATATGAGGGAGGTGTACATTGCGTTTTGTAGGAGAAGGGAGGGAAGATTGGCAGAGTGAAAACCGGGGAGCACTACCTATCGATCTAGTTTTTTTTAGGATATAGGCACTATAGCTACGAGATAAATCTTATTTACATTCTCCAATTTTCTCTTGCTGTCTCACCTTCGATCGATATACCTACTACGATTACAAGAATAAGAAAAGTGATGGAAAATCCGCTCTTGTCAAGCCGCACACTCTTTTTTTTTTTGCACTCCAATAGAATGCTTTTATCGAAATCAAAAACCACTGGTGACATATTCTTGAGCGCAACTCTCTTATTTCTCTCTCGTAAAAAGGAGGATGCACTCGTCGCCCGCTTGATAATACACAACTCTTTTTTTTCTTTCAGGAAAAAAAAGAAAGATGCGCATCCTTTGTAAAGATATGTGTCAACCGCGTGGGTACTACTTTGATAAGCGGATTTCACAAGACAAAACCCGACGAAGAGTGTGCGGGTAGAAGATGAGAGGAACAGGATGCATACCACTTAAATATATATATATATATGTGTGTGTGTGTGTATATATATATGTATGTATATATATATATACATCTATATATATATATTATATATGTATGTATATATATGACACATGATTCTTTTTATTCATTTTTTTCGCGTTTTTTTTTTCTTGAAAAAGTGTAACGAAAATTTCTCGCTCTCCTCGCATCGTGATTCGTTCCTCGTAGGTTTTACCGCGCCATGGCGTTGGCACGACGCGAAAAACTCACCAACGACTCCCACAGATCCTCTTAACGGTTACATTCTCTCTCTCGTTAACTGCGAAAGGATTTACAACGCTTACTGTGTACTATATAGGGAAGAAAATGAGAATGATGATGTCTGCGTTTCGCATGTACAGTCAACCGCTGTGCTATACCGAAATCCAATGTTATGGTCCAGCCACTGCACAAGAAGCATTATCACAATTCCAATCTTCAGCGATCGAAAACAATTACCGTTGGCCGCTCTAACTCTCGTAAAATGGGCGAACAAAAACATCGGATTGAGCCGTTCCCAAAACGATACAACATGGAGATGAGCGTGTAAAAGGATAAAAATAAACAATCTGACAATCAGTCGGTATGACTCAGCGGTACCTTACGCTACATCTTACGATAATAAGGTGTTGGGTTTTCTCTTAAAAGCTAGCAATTAGTTTCTTCCACATGCTCTCCTTTTCACGCTTGCAAAAACACACACACATTCTCACACCATATACACACATGTACACATGCATTTATACTCACACTCTATTATACAATCTTAAATTCGTTACGCTTACAGATCTGTGTATTATGGCCATTTGTATATTTTTTCTTTTCCTTTTATATTTTTTTCCCGACGAGCACACTTCCTCACGCATCTCACTTGCATATCCTCTTATAATATATGTTCTTTTTCTTTTTTTTTTTTTTTTAAGAAAAAGAAAGAGCATTCACATTCGAGCCTATATTGATACTTCACCAAAACGCACGATCGACACAAGAAAAATCCCTTCGTTTCAGGGCTCAATAAAAGAGATAATAAACAATTCTGGAGCCTTTTCGAATGATATATGCTTAATTGCTTAATGTGTAAAGTGGTTCATTACACTGTATGAAACTTCGCGCAAGATAAATTAAAAAAGACAAGCGGAAAAGATGAGCTTTTTTTTATGGTAGAAAGATAATTTCGTGTTATACAGCTGATTAAGGAATGACGCAAAAAGTTATTCAGCCTTGCGCAAAGAGGCCGATAAATATATTAATATTCCAATATGTCCTCTTAAGAGAGCTCGCATTATATATATTGCTTTCCGTATCTCTACACATCATAGCTTTTTTTATTTACACGGATTCTCATATATATAATCTCATCCACGCGCGCTATAAACACTAAATCTTTATCTTACCGGTACTTACAAAGTACAAAGAAGACAGAGGTTGACAAAAGCCATATCCGCCATGTCCTATAGCAAGCGAATGACTTTCTAAGAAAGTTTCCAATGATGCAATTATAATGTACAAACATATTACGCTCTTGCAGCCCTCCGGAGTTACACGTTACTACAAGGACGATACCGGAATCCGAAAATAAATGCCAATACAACTCTAACGTTAATTCCAGAGGGACAGCGTTCTGTAAATCTTACAGATAAGCTTCTTTGCATTCTCTCTCAATCTTCATCGCTCTCAAATTGTACGAGTATAGAATAACGTGCGCAGTGGTCTCCCAGCTGCCCTGAGTAAAATCTATCCACCGCATCAAGACGTGAATGAAAGAAGTTTTTTCTCAAATATCTTTTTCTTTTTGATCTAAAACACACGATAAAGTAACAAAGAAATATAGCGATAATTTATTTCTATTCGAACCCAAACTGCTTCATAGATTCGTGCTTGATTATAGAACAAAGTTTATAGGAAAGACAAAATAATTTGTACGAAGATATAAAGCATTATCGTGGGTGGGTTGACATTAAAACAATTTTTGGTCGATAAAATTCCTACAAAACACATTTAACACATAAATCAATAAATGATATTCCGTAATTTAACAATTGAGAAATTTTAAACAAACTAGCCATTTTCTCTTTTGAATCCAATTTCGTAACTTCTAATCATTCAAATGTTGCTTTGAAATCTGCCGACTTATGATCTATCGCGTTTCTATTAATCTAACATGAGCAAACTAATCTGCACCTGTGGGCCAAGATACGCTTACCCCTGTTTGCTCCGATTCGAGAATATATTATGGCTCGAATATATGTGAAACAATATCAAAAAAGCAGTAAAAGGAACATCTTTTTCGCCTTACGTCGGTTGCGTCTGTCGATCTTTCTCTTTTCTTCTTTTTCGGATTTAAAGAATTCAGCAACCAAAAAAAAAAAATAAAAATAATATTTACGTAATAGGACATTCATGCGTTCAGTAGCGCATGAACTATCACGATCACGAGGGTCTTTACCTTCCTTCTCTTCTTCTCCTTCCTTTCTAATCTGTCTATACACAAACGCGCGCATATGTCCTAACATACACATTACTACACAAAAAAATAAGACCGTGTCAACTGACACATCAACGTACTGTTCCAAATCATATTCGGGATGCTTATCCACAATGTTGATTCACTTGCACAACACGATGTCAAACGTGCGAATGAACAAAATATTCAAATGTATATCAGTATGTATGTAAATTCGTATGCCGTATGCGTATCTGCGGATGATGATACAATGTTCGATGCGCGTGTTGTGTGCTATCTCTTTACAATATGCAACAAACGACTGCGTGAATAATTATACGCAGCGAGGTTAACAGCGTTCAATGAGAAATCAGATTTGCTTTTATTTCCATGAAACATGAGAAAGGAATTACTCGCGCGCGGAGCGCAACGTCGATGATTGAAGTCAAACTGTGGTATATTATCTTTCTTCTTGCTTCGATTATGATAAATATCGTCTTTGTACCGCGGCAGGGTACACTCCAATGCGTTTACAGCGCATATACCATTTTATATATATATATATATATATATTTATATATATATATTACGATTTTAAGATTTACATTCTAAACAAAAATCTCTATACAAATCCCTTATGTTATACTTTACATTTTTCTTCATACATTATTTTAATAGTTACATTATTTAAAGTCATAATTATCGCGTTACCAATTAATATATAAATAATTTTAGGAGTAAAGAATCTTACATTTGGAAATAAAAACAATCTGGTTATCATTCAACTGCCTGTTAAAAGGAAAGTTTAAAACAAAAGAAGCTTAGGACTATCGAAAAAAAGAAGATAACGACAATATTCTGTTCGATTATTTTCGCGGCGAATACTTTTCGATTATTATCGCTGTCGTCACTATCGTAAATGATTGAGCCTGTTCTCATTATCCGCGCAGAATCAGAGACTCGACTTACATGCTACGTTAGCTTCCTAAGCCATTGGAAAAGGTATTGTACATCGTTTGCTTTTTTTCACGTAGCTACAAAGAGACAAGTGATACTGTAGCGAGAAAAAGTGATCGATTCTACAGCGACCTCTCAGCCACTCGGAGACGCAATTACCGCTTTGCCGGTTTGACGTTCGAGTAGGTCTGAGCGTGCCTTCAAACGGCGTTGCATCAGACGACTCTCGGTCGGCGGTGACAGTCCAAACCAATTCTGCAGCGAGTCCTTACCGATGACGCGATTCTTTCCGATGATCTTGGGGTCGTTTAAATCAACGCTGGAGTGTATAGAGCAAGATTTTGGTCGCGTGCCGTCAAATTCGCTGGATGAATGCGTCGTTAAGTGCTTGCTGTTCTCGGATAGTTCACTGCTGGAATCGGACATGTGACCGTACGGATGATTATCGTCGTCAGTCGATGACGTGGACAGTCTGGGCTCCCTGTTCTCCGCCAGCTCCTCGAGATTTAGCGAGAAATGCTGAAGTACCACGCGATTCACAGCCATTGCGGACTCAGCGAACGCTGAAAGTTCTCTAGCGGAGTTGTTCCTCCTGGAGATAAACGTAATAGGCGTATTATAAACAATAAAAAAAATATATGAAAGAGGTAACACACATTCAGGTAGATACACACCTTATGATATGAGGCGTGGTAAGTGATCGATCACCAGTTTCGACGGAAGTCGGCCCGGGATTAATCCAGGGATGTTTCAAAATACTATCGGCGCTGAGCCTCTGGTGGGCCTCCTTAACAAGCAAGCCTCTGATCAAATCTTTCGCGTCCTCGGAGATGCATCTCCACTCCTTGTCGGGAAACTCGTATCTGCCCTCCTGAATACTAGTGAAGAGCAACTCTTGACAGGCCTGACAATTTTCTCCCCTGCTCCAACCGCAATCAGTGCCGCAGTTTCCGTAAAAGGGCGGATAACCGCAGAGCAAAATGTACATAATAACACCAAGACTCCAAAGATCGCAACGTTTGTCGTAATAATTGGCCTCGCCGATGAAAGCCTCGACCACTTCCGGCGCCATAAACTCAGCGCTGCCCACCGGTGTCAAAAGTTGTGGCGTTGCCACAGGACTAGACAGCGAGTTGTTGAACTTGATACCTGACCCAAGATCAAAATCACACACCTTGATTGGCGTCAACTTGTCCGGATATACGCACAAGAGGTTCTCGGGCTTGAGGTCTCTATGAGCAATACCTAAACATACAACGAAAATATATGAGATATAAAGATTGTGATCAATTCCTAATAATTCTTATCGGATAACGCGTTCATTTGAGAGCAATCGTCTCGTAGATAATGGAATCTGAATTGATTCTTATACCCTTCTATAAATACTTCGGTTTACAAGAGGTTAATTGAAGAATTAAAGGTTATGAGTATATTAAAATGAATATGAAGTGAATTATATTCTCTTTCGAGAGAATAACAATCTATATATATACATATTATATATTTTTTTTTTCTAAAGATTATTGATTATTTTTATCGATTATACTGATTATTATTTAATCGATTTTTATCGGTTATATGAATTTGTGCAATTATTTTATCTCGCCAAAATTACCTTTCTTATGAAGAAAGTCAAGCGCACTCGCAATCTCTTTGACAATCTGGCTCGCTTCTCTCTCAGTGAAGTGAATTCGTTCCTGAATCCTGTTCAATAACTGGCCACCATTAATCTTCTCAAACACAAGATAGAATTTTTCCTCGTCCTCGAAGAACTCAATTAGCTGTATGATGTTCGGGTGGCCTTGGCAATGATGAAACGTTTCGACTTCCTTAAACACCCTGGCACGCGCGTGTCCGGGGATCTTGTCAATGATCTTCACAGCATATTCGAGGTCCGTGTAGAGAGATGTACAGGTCTGGACCGAGGCGTAGGCGCCCTCCCCAAGAACTTCTCCAGTTAATTTGTACAGTTCTGTAACAGCATCAGTCGTCGTTCTTTACGCGTATTCATTTTTTAGATTAATCGTCTGACTTTCTTAATTATTTGGTCGATCTTTTATCGATAACAGAACGAAGGAAAAAACTAAAAGTTTCGACGATTCCGAATTGCACATATTGTTTGTAAAAAATTTTAGGGATGTTTCATACTTATGGCTAAGACTGTATATGCTTTATCAGATAAGATCCGGTATCCGGTTATTCGACAAATCATTATCCGTGCGCGCGTTGCATCCCTAGATTAAATTATTAAAAGATCCAAAATCATATGTCAATCTGTTAATTTAACTATTATGTGATCCGCGAATAATTACTTTTATTTTTATGCTTAATCCTTTACGTGTTCAAATATTTGCAAATGCTCGCTAAACGTATTATATAATTTCGTACAAACATCTCTACTAACTGCTCAGATATTTGCGGCAACATTAAAGCATTTCTGGAATCGAACGTATACTTGTGTATCCAAGGCTTGCGAAACTTTCAGACTCATCGAAGCAAAGACATCGTAACTTCTCGAGTCCGCGAGCGTATAGATTCACCGCGATGAATCAATGCGACAGACCGCGTGATACTTCATTCGGCATGGAATTGCGCGTCGCTCTCTACGAGCACGCGCGATTGACGTTGTACTGTATCGCGTTGTCATTGCAATGGCAAGAGAGGACCTAAGACCGAGAACGAATCGATCGAAGCGCTCGAGAGCAGCGCGTTAGAAACGCTTTTCCTCCACGATCGGCGACGACAAAATCGAAACATCCTTTTTTTTCCTTTAGTTCAGTTGGTCACGCTAACCGGAATCCCCGCAAGATCAATTTTATTATTACACACAGAAAAATACTATATATGCCAATAATAATCACTTTCAAGTATTTCAAGTATTTCAAAAATTCATATGTCCACAAATCTATCATAAATTCATCACATTTGTATTGAAACAATATAGTATTTTATTTTAACTAGGTCACTTAATAGATTCTTGCCTGTAAATGATAAACTATTACGAATATGATAGGACAATACTACACTGTAAGAGATTAAGATACCACATTACTGCTTACCGTATAATTTCTGATTAATACAAAATATTCTATGTATTAAAAAAATAATACATATAAATGTATGTATTACTATATTAGAGCCTTCACGCAGAAAAATATCAATCTATTACTACTCAATGTATTTTCTTCTTTTAAGTAACAATTATTATCTTTATAATAAAGAATAATATAGGTATTCAAAACAAGAATTAATTGTCTTTTGAAGTTATAAAACTGATCGAAGAGAAGCGACTTTTATAATAAACAAGTCGGATTTATTTTAATAATCTTGATTGAAGTATTAAACTTACTACGATACAGAATATATATACTGAATAAATTTGATGCTTTCGATGAACTTTTTTCAATGATAGATTTACGAATACATGAATTTTTGAAATACTTGAAATAACATTGAGAAACTTATCTAGTTGAATCAATTAATTTCTTGTTTGGACATGGACAAACAAATCCTTGGTTGATGCAATAAAGTAACTTGGTTGGAGCAAAACATTCGGTTATTGCAACATTTGACTTGTTTTTAACAAACTAAATCATCAGATATTTGAACTAAATTATTTTATTGCACAAACCAAGGATCTGTTTGCTCAAATCCGAAGAAGAGATTAAATTGATTCAACTAAATGGGTTTTGAAGCAAATTATTACTTGGTATTGATATAGCACAGTATCTATTTTTCTGTGTGTTTATCTTGTCGTATCGTATATCGGAATATTTGATATCTCGGACTCAATGAAGGAGGAACACATACACATATTGACCTTTTTGACGATGCGTATCGCGTTTGATCGCGATTGCCTGTTATGCTCGAAAGGCCCAATTATCTCCGGTTTAAACAGGCTTTGGACCTCGTAAACGCGGTGTTCAACGGTGTCTGTGTGCGTATGTGTGTGCGTCCTGCTCTAACGACCAGGCAATGTCAAGGTCGAGAGGGGGTGGCCGAGATCGTAGCGTGGAACTACGACGCACATACACCGAATTTTCCCTCTCTCTCGGAAGTCCGCAAGCCCGGCTACGCGCCGCCGGCTCCTTTCCTCCAACGCAGAGGAGGTTTTACCGCGCGTCTCTCCCTGATCCATCCCTACCGCGTCGTCCGCGTCCCGAGCGTCTCCGTTTGCCCACGTCGCCGTTCTCCCGCGTCCCTCACTTCTTTCCCGTTCCACCTCTATCGCTCCGATATTATACGTCAGAATACGTGCGCATGGCAGCGTCGCTTAGCGCCTAGCAACCAGAAGCCGATAATATGCCTCCACGTCTCTACGTCGTTCTGCGCCAATTTTAACAGCGGCCCTCTCGAAAATAGCGCCTCGAAAATTGCGCGATCATCGACCCACTCACAATTAGCGACTCGGGGACAATAATATCGCACCCTGAGGGCCGATAAAGACGCAATCGTAAAGCGTCTTCGAGGAAATTGAAAATGCCTGATAATTTTTATAATTGACGATTCGCTGGCGGATGTCCAATGACAATATTGAATGTTTTTCATTTATAACCGTTTCTACCAATATATATAGATTAACTTTATTCTCAATTTAACTTACTCTTCATCTTTTTCTATAATTCTTAGAACTAGAAAAAATAAAGAGTTAGTTGAACCGAGATTATACGTAAAATTAGATTACTTGGTAGAAACGGACACTAGTGACACACAAACATCTTGCATCTTTCTCGACATTTTAATGAGGAATAAAGATAGAATGACATTTGTTTCGATTCGTGTCATCAAATGAAGAGCATCCTTCGTATACAAGTTCGGTGGACTCTTAACCAAATGTCTCGTTGACTTTTAGTGATGTATACCGATGGTATATGCGATTTCAGGCGCAGTGGAAGCTTCTCGAACTGAGTCGAGCTCGCGAATTGATCACATGGAATGACGCAATCGGTCGAGATTATGAACATATGTCTTGTTTACTTAAAGTAATCAATATTTTTTAATGGCGTAACAATAATCAATTTTTAATCGTATGTCTTCATTAACACGCGGTCATTAGCTAGATAATTTACAAAAATTTTTGAAACAAATTTATCAAAATTAAAGAAATTCAAGTTATATAAACATTTCTTAAAGAATAAAATAACAATTTCATCAAATTGCTGAAAAGTAAATAAATGTACACTCGCTTAATAAGAGTTAAAATCAAATTTGTAAAATTTCTTAAGTAATTTAAACAATATGTAAATATTCTAACATTACTTTCACTCTATTACTTCAAAAATAAAATCTATAATATAAATTTTCTTAATTCTAATCATTTTTATGCATAGATATATTTCGTAAAATTATTTACGCTATAATGATCGAATAAAATTAAAAGTAATAAAGAATATTCTAACAATTTATGTTCCTTCCAAAAATTAATTATTGAATAAATCGGTTGGAAAGATTAATTATTCTACGTTACGATATTAATATTGATCAATTAATCCACAAACAATCGCAGCTCGTGAATAATTATATAATACATTATTTACAAATTACGATGCTAAAATGTGAAACGTCCTCGAGTTCGAGGGTCGAGCGAACCGACGCGACGCTCCCGCGCCGAAAACACGTACAACGAATTCATGGCTCTCTGTGGGCCGTGCCGTATCGATCGAGCGAGCGGCTTCGTGGCCGAATAACCGTATTTGCCAGCAATGCCAGCTGCGCAGCTCGGATTAATTCCGATCCCGCGTTCTTCGCATCTCTCAACCAGTTTACCAGCTAGGGATGCAAAAACCGCTTCTATGCGTATAAGTTGTTCGAAGGATCGTAAATACCGACGTTTCTTCCCTCGATTACGTCAACAGTATAAATGGAATAATATACGCATGATGATGGACATGTAAACAAAAAAAAGATCTATCCAAGGTGCTCCCGGGAAGAAGAAAGAGGATTCCGCCATTGTTCTACCTCGATCTATTCTTTGAAATATCTGGCACCTCGAGGGAGAAGTAAGAGCGAACTTCCGGTGTTTATAAACAAGCGGCGCGCAAAATTCCAGGCCGCCTGCGCGATCGATTACCGCCCCGCGTGAGTTTCTCGAGCGCTTCGAACTTGTTCAAGGTCGCACCTACGAAGGACTGCAAGTCACTGGTAAAAGATAGAAAGAGAAAGAGCTGTGGGGTGCGTGTGCACGAAATGCACCGCGTTGGCTCGCATCGAAAAATCGAGGACAGGCCCCGCGTTCTATCAAATATCCGCGCGCCTTCTCTCACTCCTCTCATCTCCATTTTGTCTCTCGTTTCCTTCTGTAATTTAAACGATTACATATGTAGTACATAAATTAACACCGAATTATTTAAGCAATTAAGATCCTTTACAGTCAAAAGTATTTATTGTCTATTTATTGTGTAATGATATTCACGGTTCTAAGAAATCTTTGTTTAATATTCTCTCTCTTTCTCTCTCTCTCCCATCTTGTAACAATCCGAAATGGCGCGCAATTTTTTCGCGTGACAACACCAACGTTTTTTCACACTCTATCTTCTGTTTTAGCGCCGACATGTGCGAATTTACCTTGGAAGCAGGAGGACACCACAGAGGAGCCGGAGCGTCTCTTCCTGCGCCTCTTGCGTCTCGCCTCCTCCTGACGGGCCTGCACCGCGCTCATAGACTCCCCCGTCGAGGCTACATCTCGGCAAGTACCATCGCCTGAAACATATCGTTCATTGTTACATTTCAATGTGTCCGTTCCGTAATCAACTTTAATACACGGAAATAACGATTTTACTGAAATGTCTAAAAATTCAGTTATATATAGACATCTGAAAATAATTTTGTTCGAATATCAGAATAATTATGGAAAAAGCTTAAATATTACGAACAATACCACAAAAGTTTTAGCATTCCATCAGTTTGAGAGCGTCCTATATAATTATTTTAATGATTCTCAAACAAAATTATATTTTCAGAACTCTATCTAACCAAAGTTTCATACTTCAACCACGAACAGATCAGAAAATAATTTTATTGAACCAAAATAATTTTATTGAACCAAAATAATTATACAGAAAACTCAAGTGTGATGAATAGAAAGTTTTGACATTCTAATAATAAGACAGTTTGATGTCCTCCATAATTATTTTGATGATCCAATAAAATTATTTCCAAATTTCTAGCTAAACTTTTAAATACTTCAACAAAAGTTATTCTTTCCGTATAAAAATAATTACGTAAAAACCTCAAACACGATAAGCAATGATGCAAAAAGTTTTAACATTCTAACAATCAGTTTGATGACCATAATTATTTTAATGATTCAATAAAGTTATTTTCTGCATCTAGCTAAATTTTTAGATGTTTCAGTAAAATCGTCCTTTCTACTCTGGGCTTCCATTAACGGATTTAACGGATTTCTATTAACGGACGTGAATAAGCTCGTATCTCACAAATGCGGACAACACTTGAAACTACTGTTAATCTAATTCGCCTATTTTTCATACGATTAACATGAAGGAAGACTCTGACCCAATGACGAGACAAAGACGGCAAACACGGTCTAAAAATAGCGGTAAGCAATTTTTCAGCGTGAATATGCATGTACGTCGTAAAACGGGGCACCTCTGAAGACGTGGTTGCGTAACAAGTATATTTATTTGCGGACACAAAGTGATCGTGGCCTACCACACGTGACGAACTCGCGTTTCGTGTTATCGCCGTTTATTATTATTGCGAGCTTATCGACGCCTGCGGTATCATCGCGCGACTGTTAGTCATTCTCTTGAGTTTACTGCTCGTTACTACTAACGATAATTTTCATCACCGGATGAAAATAACGTTTTTAAATCTATCACTCATGTCGTATAATAAATATACAATAGGAATTAATAAAAAATTAATATAGTACACACGCAAAGAACACGGTTTTACTGAAATATCTAAAGTATCTAAAGATTTAGCTAAATACAAATCTGAAAATAATTATATTTGACATCAGAATAATTTACACTCTAGGCAAATTTTTCGAAATACCTTTAAAAAAAACGATTTACTCTTATCTACTTAAATATTCATAACAATGTATTTTTTTTAAATAATTCACATGAAGTGTAAGATAGTTTAAAAATATGAACATTCTAGCAATCAGTTTAAGTGTCTAATATACATATTTTAATAATTCATAATTATTTACACAATTTACATATCTAATTAAATATTTACATGCTTCAACAAAGCCATTCTTTTCATACATATATACTGAGGATTTATCATTAAGTGTCATTAATGTTCTTCGCTTATTGTGCACATTATGTTCTACCTTAATTGCTTTTTGTACTTTTACAAACGCGTATATACGCCGCAATCAACATGTGATGTCGACGCGATTCGACGTTCGTTGAAAAAAAAAAAAAGATAATGGAACTGCTATGAAAAAGAGTCCCACGCAGCGTAACCATGCAGGGAAACTTTGCATTCATCGAGATACCTCGCTTTTATGAATAACCATACTCTCATTAGTCTCGAAGGTTTAAAATAATGCACCCGTATCGTTATTATTATCACCTGGTAGATATTGACGTATTCCCTAGCTATTTCCAACGCGTCATAAAATTATCGGCGTTTAATGCGTTTTTATGAGCCAATCACGTAATTCGGTCTACACTGCGTGTCCACCAAAACTAGAGATTCAGATATCGTATAGTAAATCGTGAAAATGATAGTAAAAATAATTAAGCGGGAGAGAAATATTATTGAAAATTGCTATTTCATCATCCCTTTCTGGCCGAACATCTCCCCTCTGGCCCTCGAATATCGCATGGGGCTCTTCCCCTGTGTAATAAAACACACAAGAGAGAGGGAGAAATCCCGGGATTCCACAGGGGTGCCACGCGATTACAGAGGAGGACCGAACTTTTGTGCCCAGCGGAGATGGGAAGCGTAGTGTACGCGGCAATCGATTTAGCCGGGGGATAAATGAAGACAGGAATAATTTCCCCTTCGTACGCCTCTCCCCCTCCCCACCGCTGCGGCATAACAATAGCAGCTCCGCGAAGCAGCTTTTCTGGGAGGTTTCCTATTGCGTGTTTTGGACACGTGTACGTTTCAGAATAATCCGACGGGCCGAGCACTCGTAGAATTCAGATCGAGTACGGTACTGATCTCACGAATGTTTCACCCTTTGAAATAACAGTCTATTAGAACCACTCGATTATAAATCTCTTTAACAAACATGTCAATTTTCTTCTAATAAATGCAAATTTTTGATTATTCTATCTTTTTAAAAATATATTTATTATTAAATATACTGATTCATTTTTATACGAGTTAGGTTAGTCTGGTTCCTTGTGATTAGCCTTTCAATTAACGTAAGTTAAATAGGTTTTACAGATTCACATTCTAAAAAGGATGAGATGTAACATCAAGCAACGTTTATGTGATTTTCATTATGTTAATGTAAACACCGACTCAATATGGATTTAACATATGGTTCAAAATTTATGGTTAAGCTCATAGTTTTTAACATAGTGTGGATTTAACATCATGACTTAAAACTCGTGGTGTTAAATTCATATTGTTCATCGTTGTTGTTCGACACGAAACGACGAGAATTAAGCGTGAAATCTACACCTATATTTTTTTAGAGTACAACGTCATTAACTGTGTTATAGATTTTGGCATCAGCTCCGGAAAATTACGCGTGACAGTCGACGACGACAATCGGTCTTTGTCTGAGAATCCACGCGACGGTCGATTAAGTTCCGAATAAAGATTTCCTGGAAGTGAAATTACTTCGGCCAGAACGTAACGTCGGTTCGCGACAACGATCGGCGATTTGATCTTGCACAGCTTAGTCGGTATACACCGTAAATATAGGCTCTCTGTCCTCGCACTTTCTAATTCAGCCGCTAAAAATGGGACCGTCGGTCGGTCGCTCGCTGATACCGAGACCGTCGACGCAGCGCGGCGGCGGCATCGGCAGTTCGGCGTTTCCCTCTCTGTTCTCTCCGCTGGGAAAGTTCACTCGCGAAGGCGCAGCTCCGAGAGAGACCGATTCACGATCCGCGTGTTAACGGAGATATACGACGGCAACAGGTATTTACGCGAGATGTATATCGTCGGTCGGGGTCACGCTGTATCTCACTGCAGCGACGTTTCCGCGACCGTCATCTCAAGCCGAGTGAGAGAGACACGGTTCGAATACATTTTCGCGTCTAAAAAAATGTCTTTTTGTATTGCGTTATCCTATTTACAATAATTTGTATATTTGACATTGCCTACGTGAACAAGATTCGTGTAAATTTAACGTAACAATACGTAAAAATTTCATGTAATCGTAGTCTTGAACTATATATACGGCCCAATCATGAATTAGACGAAGTTTAAAAATACGCAAATTGATAAGTGGGTTGTTCAAATCGCTCCGCTTTTATTTTATATTTATCCTTTTATTAGCATATTATGTTATATTTAAATTAATATCAGTTACATACATACTTTTATGAGACATAAATGATAAAGGAACTTTACGATTTCTAGACATCTGGACAATTTTTATTTCCTTTTTCCAGAACAAGAAAACTATACTTGAAGTATTGTAAATATTTCGTCTACCCATTTAGGCCTTGGTTTTACATTCTCTAGTTAACTTGAGATTTAGATTTAACCTTAGACTTAACACAACGACGCGAAATGACGAGGTGACTAGATCGCGACGATAAACCGCGCGGTGTCTCTCGAGCGACCGACGCGGAAGAGGTTTGTGCATTGTGCTGATGCGCGTGGGCGAGGACGTCGCGATGACGTTCGCAGCTCGCGATACACAACGGCGATGAATAACAAAGTACCGGCGAATGCGCGAGTGAATCGACTCAACTTCGTGCCACTCCTTCGAGAATGGACAGACAGCACTTGCGGATCGCTCGCGTGGGTCGAGGAGAAATCAGAGCCGGATCGAGAATGAATGCCGCATAACTGTAAGCCGGCTGCTGACTCCTCATTGTCCCCGGACAATCGTAATGATTGACTTTCGAGGGTTTTGGCGGGGATTGAGTCGAAATACGATAAAGGGAAAAGCGTTATTGAGTCGGAACCACGAGACAGAGAGAGAGAGAGAGAGAGAGAGCTCGAATTGCCGCACGTTACCCGGAGCAATCCGATCGCGGACGCTCTGGTGCACGCGAGTTATATTTAACTCGCGTGACGATGACTGCGTTAATCGATGACAAATATAGTTCAGGCCACGCTCGAAGCTCGGATGCAACAACGAAACGAAAAATCACGTACAACCCTTTCTATCAATGTAGATAACTTCAATCTCGGTTTAACTTATTCTCCTAATCAAAAGTTATATAAAATAAAAGTTTTATTTACCTTTTTTTTTCCTTTTCTCATCCTATTTAGAATCATGCCTGTGTGTTTCCAATGCAGATAAACTTAATCTCGACTCAACTTACTCTTCATCTTTTTCTAGTTTTAAGAATTACAAAAAGATGAAGAGAGAGTAACTTGAACCGTAATTAAAATTAATTACGTTAATAGAAGTAAAAATTTGACCCATTTCTATCAATGCAAACTAACTTTAACCCTCGCTTTAACGCCTTGATTTAATTCACTACTCTTTATCTTTTTTAAGTCTTACAATTAGAACTAGAACAAAAAAGAAGTTGAACCGATAACATATCAACGAACATTAATCGCGAGGCTCTTCAAGG